TAAGTTTAAAAATTGGACGTGCCAGTAACATGAGTTTTCGATAAAGCTTGTGGACTGTATTTGGTACATACAACGAGCAGAGCAAGGAAAATGGATGAGAGTGGAATGCACGCACTAACCTTGTGAAGGGCTGCCTCGCCTTCTTCCTCCCGGGGCGTCTGTTAACTGCAGGTCACCACGTGGTCCGGCGCGCGCACTCTGGATCAGTTATAGTATACCACACTCCTCGACTCTCGACTTATTGTACTCGCGGAAGACGCGTCACATTTGTGGAATTACAAGGACGCAATGTCCGGTGATAAATTAATATTAAGGCGTGGTCGAAGGACTCAATGCCCTTCGTGCGGTTTGTTTTCGGGTTGTATACGAATGCAACTGTTTTGCCGTTGCGTGGCGTTTTTATCGCCTCCAACAGCCGTGCGTACATATTATGGAAAGGGTTAAAGAAGGGAGGGGTCAAGGTTATGTACTATTCTATTTAGATTTATAAATTAGATTGTTAACTGGCGTTACCATTTCCTCCCGCCCTTAAAGAGTCACCTTTAAAAGACAACCGTAAGACAAAGAAAAAAAAGAAAAAAAAAATGTTTTGCGGTATCTAGAGTGAGCATTTATAGTAAGCAAATAAATAGAGCGGTATATAGATTCGGAAGGCGCGCTCAATGCGCTCAATATTTGATTAACTAAGCTTGATTCGCAAGCGAGAAAATGCGTACATAGATTTAATATAGCGGTTTAACATTTTATAGTATGATATATAAAATAATTGCTAATGTAAATAAGTTATTATAATTAAGATACTCATGGTTTATTGTTTTGGGAGAGGACAAATACGAACAACCGGACGGAGGTAGGTTCCCTTAGAAGTTCTCACGGTTACTACTCGAGCTACACCATCTTTCGAAGAATGAACAGACTCAACAATAGCTAATGGCCAAGCAAGGGACGGTGCGTTATCGTTAATCACAACTACAACCGTGCCTGGTGCGATAGGCGTAGACGAAGTGTTCCACTTCTGACGAACTTGTAATCCATGAAGGTATTCCATCCTCCACCGATCCCAAAACGACTGGACTAATTTATCCAGTAGAGAATGTCTGTGTAACAGACTGTCAGATTTAACTTCAGCCGCAGGTAATGACAATAAAGGCGCGGTATTCAAAAAATGACTCGGTGTAAGGGCCGAGGGCTCCGCGGGATCAGAACTTTATACTGTCAAGGGCCGCGAGTTTAGTAAGAATTCAATTTGCGAAAGAATAGCATTAAGTTCTTCGTATGAAAGTAACTGATGACCGATAACTCGGAACAGATGTGCTTTCACGACCTTGACCATACTCTCCCATGCGCCTCCAAAATGAGGGGAGTTGGGACAGATGAACTTCCATATAATGCGACTCTCGGCGCACTCCTGCTCGATCTTTGGGCGATATTCAACGTTTAAAAATTTATAGAGATCGCGAAGGTACGAAGCGGCACCCTTAAAATTCGTTCCGTTATCCGAATACAAGAACTGAATCGGCCCTCGTCTAGAGAGGAAACGTTTCAGCGCGGCGAGGAAACTGGAAGTACTAAGATCAGTAGCGATTTCTATATGCACAGCTCGAGTTGTGAGGCATGTGAAAATACATAAATACGCCTTCTCGCTGCGTATACCACGACCACGTACAGGAGTGTAGGCAACAGGACCGGCATAATCACAGCCCGTGTGAGTAAATGCCTTAATAACCTGTCGCGTACGACTTTGGGGAAGATCAGCCATCAAAGGGTAAGTTGGACGGGGTCTAAGCCGGAAACATATATTACACTTGTGGACTCTATGTCTCACAGTGCGGCGTGCGGAAAGAATCCAAAACTTCTGACGGGGTAATGACAATAACAACTCAGGCCCGGCGTGTAAATTTTTAATATGATAATAATCAATGATCATATTCACTACATGATCACTGCGCGGAAGTACAATTGGATGTTTTTGCGTGTAATCTAGTGCGGAGTTAGAAAGGCGACCGCCTACGCGGATCAAACCGTTGTCAATAAAAGGCCTTAAACGATTGAAAGCGGATGAGCAAGGTTTGTTACCTTTAATATTTAAATATTCAGCTGCAAAGTGTTGCTTTTGCAGGGCGCGAAGCATTATGGCCTTAGCGAAACTGAGATCATCGGCAGTCACTACAATAGTGCTGTGGCGGGGTAACAATTTAGCAAACTTACACACATACGCAATTATACGTAGAAGTTTACTCCAAGAAGAGATGCGGAGCGCTAGCTCATAAATTACAGAATTGCAGACGGATGTGCACACAGTGTGCGACGAAATCCTTGTCTCAGGCATGTCTGAAATGTCCTGATTGTCTAAAGTATGAAGAGGCCACTGAGATGGATCTAGTGAGGTCCACTGAGGCCCGCGGAGCCACAGAGGATATGAAACTAATTTATTTGGCGTAACGCCACGTGAAAGTATGTCAGCGGGATTCTCAGTGCCTGTTACGTGATAAAAGTTGTCAGCGGGAATATTGTCGGTGATCTGAACAACGCGGTTTGCAACAAATGTCTGCCACTTGTGTGGCGAACTCTTTATCCAGTACAGAGCTACCTTTGAATCTACAATGGCATAGACCGATATTGCGAGGCCAAGAGAGTAATTTTCGAGGACTCTGCGAAGCAACTTTGAGAGTAAAACCGCTCCACAGAGCTCGAGGCGTGCAATAGATAGTGGCTTTGTTGGTGCGACTTTAGTCTTTGCACAAACCAACTGGACGGTGTTACCGTTAACATTCTTTACATGTATGTAAACTACGGCACCGTATGCGTGCTCGCTGGCATCGGAAAAACCCAGAAGTGTGGCAATACAGTTTTTGGATACACCAACATGTCGCGGGATACGTAAATCATTAAGGGCTGGTAATTCAGCACAGAATTGCTTCCACATCTTAACAATGGGCAGTGGTAGTATCTCGTCCCAATCTAAATTAAGTTGCCAAAGCCGTTTTATTAACAGCTTGGCGTACGCGACTGCGGGGGCAACGAAACCCATTATGTCCCACAGGCGGGCGACAGTAGACAAGATGGAGCGCTTAGTGCACGTCACATCAGCGGGAACGGTTATCTTAAAATAAAAGGCGTCACTATCAGTAGACCAATACAAACCCAATATTTTATGTTGCGTTAATTTATCGAACTCTACTTCTCCTGTAATCTTATGAGAAGCAGGGAGGTCATCTAAAACAGATCGACGGTTGCTATTCCATTTTATTAGGTCCCATTGTGCTCCCTTGAATAACCCTATCAGCTGCTGAGAGGCGTCACTGGCTTCAGATTCACTGGGTAAAGAGAATGCGATATGGTCCATATATAATGAAGTAGACGCGATACAACCCGCAAGTGGATACTTTGCGCCGTCGTCATCGATAAGCTGTCTCACCGTACGCAATGCGTGGTATGGACTCGAAGTTAAACCGAAGCATACGCGATTGAAGTGGTACAACACAAGTGGGTCATGTGGACGAAAGCGGTATATGAAGCATTGATAACGAAGATCAGAATCGCGAACAATTATCTGCAGGAATTGCTGGCGATAGTCGGCTGTCATAGCGACTGGATGTAGGCGGAAATTTAGAATTATATTGAACAAATCGCCTTGCAAATTTGGTCCTGAATGTAGGATATCATTTAATGCTCGACCAGTGTTAGTCTTACTGCTAGCATCCAGGACTATACGTAAACGTGTCGACTTCTTGTCTTCGCGTAAGACTCCATGATGCGGGATTACATAGATTGGAGCGGGGTCATGAGAGTCATACGGTGGTGCGGGAGAGATATAATTTTTGGCTAAATATTCCTTTATGACGTCGTCATATTCCAACCTTAGTATAGGTGATGCTTGAAGTTTTCTTTCTAAGCACATGAATCGTCGTCGAGCAGTCTCGTAAGAATCTCCGAGAGAATAAACGTCATCTTTAAATGGTAGGCCAACAATGTATCTACCACTATCAGGATCGCGGGATGTCGTCGATTTATAAAACTCTTCACATTCAATGTCTGAAGGACACTGAATGGGCGACGCGGAGGGAGGCTGTTCAAGCTCCCAAAATCGTTGTACTAATTTATCAATGGCGGGAGACTCTAGGATTGTACAACACGTTAATGACTGATTATATTGAATTGTCGGTACTGAACCCATAATAACGTAACCAAACACCGTGTTCAAAGCTGCGGGCCCAGACAAGTTGTTAGAGGAGTGAATTACGTCAGGACACAATAAGTGCGGGAAAAGGGATGCGCCTATCAATACGTCAATTTTATTAGGCACACCGTAACATTCATCAGCGAGCCTTATGTCATTAAATTGTGCTAAGACTGATTTGTCTACCACAGCGGTGGCCATACGATCGGTGATTTCATCAACAACGAGCGGTGAAATATTGAAGTTAATATTAGAGTTGAAACGTGAGAAAATTTTAATATTGATTAATTTTGATTTAACGATTTTTTCTACTCCACCGAATCCCTTTACTACAGTACATTCGCTTTCGTGTTGCTGGACGCCTAAACGATGACAGCATTCCTTAGTTATAAAATGGCTTTGAGACGCGGAGTCTAATAATACGCGAATTAATTGTTTCTCTCCCTTAGCGTCGTGTGCAAAGACTTGTGCGGTTGATAATAAAACAGTCTTCTGCGAACGAAATGAGCGCGCGGGGGGCGGTGAATGTTGGGAAACATTCGTGAACGAAGTACACAGCGCGACGTCCGAACGCGCACCTGAGGTGAGAGGTGGCAAGTATGCTGGCGTTGTAGGCGCGGGTGCTGCAGCCTTAAGCACAGTTTGCTGAGGCTGAGGCGGAGGCAGCGCGGAGGAAGAATTATCGCTTTCACGCTGGAAATGCAACAATGTATGATGGTTAAATTTACAAACTCGACAACTAAAGTTTGAAGCGCAATTAGATACTCGATGGCTTAAGCTAAGACAATTCACACATGCATTGTTACTCTTCACGCATTTAAACCGTTCGAGCGGTGTCATTTTATTAAAGTCTGCACACTTAAATAAGTGCTGGTGCACAATATTATCACACAGGCACTTCTTTGAACAACTAGCCGTTGTACTTACGTATGCCTGATATTTCGGCGACGAAATATTATTACAGCGACGATTATTATCATTACCTCGTCGACTATTTGATGGACTACTAGAGTTTGTACTAGAATCGGTGCGTTGCAGAACTTTAGAGCGGGTTTTAATAAAATTTACTAAATCATCAAAGGTAGGTATTATCGAGCAATGATTGTATTCGAAAGATCGAATGGTATCCGAGTCGAGCTTCTTTAACGCGATATGCAGAACAATTAAGTCCGCGAGATTATCCAACTTTAAGTTTTGTAAAGCGCGCACTGCACTTATAAAGTTATCAGTAAATAAATCAAAGTTATTCGCTGTGGACGATTGCAATGGCTTAAACTCGAACATCTGATTTATATACGCGGAGGCTATCATACGCTTGTCTTCGTATTTATCAATGAGTGCTTGTAATAAAGTTTTATAATTTTCTGCGCATGGAGTAATACCTGAGCATACAGACAGAGCCTTGCCCGTCAGTTTACCTAGCAGATAGTATAACTTTTCACCGTCAGTGAGTGATGGGTTGTCATGGACGGTTGATTTAAAGCTGGCATAAAATAAAGCCCATGAGCGAATGTCACCCGAAAACGTCATAAGTTCGATAGGCGGAATTGTAAGCCTAGCCTTAGATGGGACACTAGTATTTTGTAAAGTAGTAGACTGCGAATATTGTAAATAAAGCCGATTTATCCTACCGTAAAGAGACTCAAACGTAATAAGGCTGTTATAGTCAGGCTTAGCGATAGGGTTTATTTTTAATAAATGCGAATTATAGTTATCTACGGTCTGTTTAAATTCAATACGTAATTCATTAACATTAGAACTCTCGTCGAGAAAAGTTCCATCATAGAAGTATTCGTATGGATGTTCGAAGACATATCATATATTTTTTGCACTATTTCAAATATAGCATCTCGTTTAGCTAACAATAAAATCAACTCAGCGTCAGGTGTACCCTCGTTATCCAAAGAATCACTATTATTCGATGCAACTTGTTTCTTAGGCGGCAATATGGCTAAATTTATACGGCAAAATATAACTGTAAGTGAGCAAAACGTAATCTATAATAAAATATGCGACTTCCCTACGAGATCGAGTTACGTATCGTTAATAATTAGTTTTATTAATGATGAACTTTAGAATGTTGATTTCAATAGGAAATTATGTAGATATTAATAACAAATATAAGGCTTAAATAATTAGTAAATAATGTAAATAAGGGAAGTAATTGAACAGTATAGTCTATAATTGTAATTCGAAGTTGATGACGTAATGTCATACAACAAAGGGGATCAAAATATAGAAAAATATTCTATAATTATAGTTTTATAATATGTATATATTGATATCACTTATTATGGCCGATTGTAATATTCTAGTAAGTGCGGAAGGTCAATGCAAGGTCGAGTGACGACGCACTGTCACGTAACATGAAGGTTTAAATAGATATTAATCTACAATTACAGTTTTGTAGTGATTATTGTTGTCGCTTAATAGAACCTATTTTAGTGTTCTAATAAGGGCGGGAGATCAATCAATATGAATAGGCTCAATGTGGCCAAACAAAATGCGGTCTATAATTATAATTCGCTTATTAGGGCGTATTTAACACCCTAACAAGAGCGGAAAGTCAATCCAAGGTCGAGATGGACCATTAAATGGTCAATCCGGCCGAAGGACCAGACAAATGGACAATCCGATTGTGCATCACATAACGTTGCGATAACACCGTTTAGTCATCTCTCTTCATTTTTATTTTGCAATTCCTAACAAAAGTTCATCATTACTTTCAAATTTAGTGCCATTTTAAAGCCAGTGAATCGACTGTTAACATAGTGAAAGTCGTTTTTAAATTTATTTACGCGGTCTGATACAGTGAAGCAAAACATTTTAAAAATATTTAGTTACTGTTCGCAACCTTGACCTACCTCACATAAACGATCAACTCATGCCCGTCGTAGCTGTTGCGTGTACGCAAAAAGCCGATACTTCCCGATTGTGCGCGATTTTTGCCGAGCTGGTTGTCTACGATTTTATAGTGCTACGAGCTTCCAAAGTACGGCACGGATAGTCCCGCCCACTTTGCTACGATACTTCTACGAGCCACCGCTGCACTTATTGCGTTACTGACTCGCCGAATCGAGCTATCAACAGGTTGGTTTTTTTGTATTTATATACTGTATAAATATATTAATATGCCGAAAATCTGCTTGGGCTGCAAGCTTGATATAAAAAGCGATAATTACTGCAAATGTGCTTACTGCAAACAAACATGTCATGAGCTTTGTGCTAATTTACCACCCAGGAAATCTTCTAGTGAGCCCTCTCCAGTTTGGACTTGTCCAAGCTGTATCAGCAAGAGACCCAAGGGCGACAATACGGAGACACCAATAAGGCATAATCTCAAGAGCACTCAACCATCACCTAATTGGGTATCGCAGCGATCAAGAGGCAACAGGGTCGGTACTTCTCCAGTCGCTAGTGAACATGAAGCCCCTTCTCTCTACCCCACTGTCGATGAGATTAGGGATATCATACAGTCAGAACTAAAAAATATTTTAACGAAGGAGTTGACCATCTTGATTGAGAAAACGATTACGTCTGAACTTCGGGAAACTGTTTCTGATATTGCATGCTTAAGAAGTGATTTGCTTTCGCTTAAAACTTCTATGGATTTTATAAACTCACAATATGATGAAATCAAGGTTGATTTGAACAAAAAGACAGAATTATGTCATCGGTTGCAGAAGGAATGTATGGACTTGACCATCGCTAATAGGGAACTATCTGATCGTGTGGCACAAATAGAACAGCACTCTCGTGCCTCGAACTTAGAATTCCAATGTGTACCTGAACATAAATCAGAAAATCTGATGGTACTGACTAAGCAACTTGCAAAAACGGTCTCCTTCGACCTTAAAGAAGAAGATATTCACATGTGCACTAGAATTGCTAAGGCTAATCCTGCCACCACCAGACCTAGATCAATTATTGTCAAGTTACGCAGCCCTCTGATTCGTGATGGATTTTTAGCTTCAGTCATAAAATTCAACAAGAACCACCAATCGGACAAACTTAATTCTAGCCACTTGGGTATTGGAGGTGACAAGAAACCTGTATTTGTAACTGAGCATCTCTCTCCAAGTAACAAAGATCTGCATCGGGCTACCAGACTTAAGGCCAAAGAAAAGAACTACAAGTTCGTTTGGGTAAGAGGTGGCCGCATTTTTGTGAGAAAGTCGGAATCAGCTCCTGTTGTTGTTATTAAGAATTTATCCTCGTTACAATACTTAACCGATTAGATTTCTTCTCATTTACTCATGTCTTGCTTTTTATGTATACCTGCACAAAATCTGCTGCCTTAAATTGTTATTACCAAAACAGTAGAGGCCTAAATACAAAAATTCATGAATTTTATAGTAACATGTGTATGAATGACTACGATATTGTTGTAATAACGGAAACCTGGCTACAAAATAACGTTAACGATTTAGAGTTATTTAACGATAATTATGCTGTATATAGACGAGACAGAGACTTGACTAAATCATTTTCAAAAAAGACTGGAGGTGGTGTAATGATTGCCGTCAATAGAAATTTTGACTCACATAGGATTAATAGAAATGAAGGCACTGGACTAATAGAAGATCTTTGGATTGTAGTTCATCTCAGAAATGGTAAAAACTTTATAAAACTATGCATATGTGCGGTCTATATACCACCTTCCGTTAATTCAAGGAACTATGAACAGTTTGTAGATAATATTAATAATAATCTTTCCGATTTTGATCACTCATTAGTAATTGGTGATTTTAACCTTCCTAATTTGGAGTGGCTGAAAAATGATAATGACCTATTTACTATTTTAAATGACTCTCAATGCCAATACTTTTATATGATCTCTGAGTTTATGGCCCTGAATAATCTTAAGCAGTTCAATTACATTAAAAACAAAAACTCGAAAATGCTTGATTTAATATTCTCATCAGAAAGTAACGTATGCGTTGGTGAAGCCGACGAAGCATTAACCGCTATTGATCTTTTTCATCCACCTCTTTTATTTGAAATTACTTTCCACTCCATCAATCATTTACACCCATCCCTACAACCTAGACCGAATTTCCACAAAGCTAACTATGAGTTGATTAAAAATGAATTGGATAGTGTTGATTGGCTCAATATATTTGCATTATGTGGGAATGTTGATGAAATGGTTACTCGTTTTTATGATGTATTGCGTGCTACTATAAGTAAACATGTTCCACTAACCACACCTAAAAACATTAAGTATCCAATTTGGTTTTCAAAAGGTCTTATAAGGAGTAATAAAGAAAAAAAGAAAATTAGACAAAGGGTTAAGAAATATAAAAATCCGATGGATAAAATCGCCCTAGACTTGCTAAAACAAAGAACAAAAAATTTAATGAAACAGTGCTATAATAATTATTACAAACGCCTTGAACATAGTATAACCTCAAATCCTAAATATTTTTGGACATTTATAAAGCATAAGCGTAAAAATAGTAGCAATATACCATCCCGTATGCAATTAGACCATGAAACTGGAGTGGATGGAACAAGCATAAGTGAACTGTTTGCGAAAAATTTTTCATCTATTTATAGTAAAAGTCTAAATCCACAAGTTTGTTACCAAAAACGCGATGGTATCCATTCATTTCCATTCTCGCTTAGTTCTATTATGCTGTCGGATAATTTAATTCTCAGGAGGTTAAAGAGACTTGACTTATATAAAGGTCCTGGCCCAGATGGATTACCGCCGTTGTTTATATATCAATGTGCAAAGCAACTATCATTGCCACTTACTTGTATCTTCAACGAATCTCTTAAAACTGGAATATTTCCTACCTACTGGAAAATGGCTAAAATTGTTCCCATTTACAAAGATGGTACTAAGAATAACATCAGAAATTACAGACCAATATCCATTTTATCTATTTTTCCTAAAGTTTTTGAAATTTTAATCTACCCTTATGTTTATAATTTACTAAAATTTCAAATTACTGATCATTAACATGGTTTCCTTAGAAATAGGTCCACCACTACTAATTTAATTGCCTTCACCAATTATATTATCCAGCATGTTGATCAGGGTTCTCAGGTCGATGCTATCTATACTGATTTTAGCAAGGCATTTGATAAAGTTGATCATGAGATACTTTTGACGAAATTAAGTAGTTGTGGTATTGGCGGCCCTATTTTGGTTTGGTTTAGATCTTACTTAACTCTTCGCGAGTGTTATGTAGTTGTTAATGGGAAACAGTCTGAACCGTTTAAGGTAACCTCGGGTGTTCCTCAAGGGTCACATCTAGGGCCCCTTTTGTTTCTAATTTTGATCAACTCAGTGACAGAATGTT